TACAAAAATGTTGTTACATTTTTGTTTTTTAATTTTTTTTTTTTTTTTTATTAAATTTTTTAAAAAAAAAAAAAAAAAAAAAAAATGATTAAGAAAATTTTTTTTTCTTTTGAATTCCAGTTTTCTTGTCCTGAAAAAAATGATGACGACAACATTTTATTATTATTATTATGTTCCATATGTTTCGTTTTGAATTTGTTTCATTTGTTAACCTGGAACAACGACAACGATGATGATGATGATGATTTGGACAGGAAACTTTTTTTTTCAAAATGAAAATGAAAATGAAAAAAAACATCTTTACCATCGTTTATTATCAATGTTTGTTTGACAAACTAAACTTAACATAAGCCAGACATATATTGGATGTAATAAAATGTACATTTTTTTTGAAGGAAATTCAAAACATTTTTTTTTTATTCATTTCCATTTTTGTTAATAGTTTTTGTTGACCAACCGAATAGTTAAAATAGTCGAATAACTGTCATTTACATTATAATGAATTATTACCTGAATTCTTCAATCAAATTTTATCCTTGAAACAACAAAATGATTCCCGAGAAATATTCTTCTTCTTCATTACTTCCAGAAAATATTTCCAATTTTCTTTTTTTTTTACTGATTTTTTTTTTCGTTTCGTTTTGTTTCGCTTAGTTTAGTTTTGTTTTGTTTGTTTTTATTTCACTTCATTTCACTTTATCTTCATTCAAAATTGATTGCTGTTTGGGTTGGTTTTGAAGAAAGTTTGCTTGTTTTTTTTTCATTCATTCATTCTTTCACTTTTAAAATCTCAATTTTTTTCAATTTCTACAACTTTTTTGTTGTTGTTGTTGTTTTTTGTTGTTTATTTAGTTGACTTTAAGGATTACTCTTTTTTTTATATTCTTCTTCTTGTTCCATCACTACAGCTACCTGAATAAAGAATATTCTGTAGTAGACATGGAATATTGTCAGAATAATTCATTCAATTTTTTTTCAAAAATTCTTTGTGAATCTTTTTTTGAATTGCGATTGAATCGCCTTTTGAAGATGAGAATTTATTCTTATTTTTTTTCGTTGATTTTCCATCCAGGAAAAGAAAACATATTGATTTTACCAGATTTTACTTTTTTCGTTTCTTTTCTCATATGACAATAGCCTTTTTGTTCAACAACAACAACAACAACAATGGCTGATTGAATGAGAATGTATTGTGCAATTTTTATGTTTTAATTTCGAAACTATTTTAACATTTTATTGAATGATGATGATGATGATGTTAAAATAGCCAGGTCAATGAGAATTACAGGAATCTGATATCTATTAAAAAGAAAATCGATATTTTCTTTTTTTAGTTTTTGAAAGAAAAAATTGTTTGTTTTCTTTTAATTTTATCAAAATTTGAAGTTGATTAAATAAACTTTTCTGATTCAAGTAGTGTGTGTGTGTGGATGACTTTTTCAATCGACAATTCTTTTCAAAAAAATTTTCATTCAACAACTTGAATTTGAAAGAAGAAGAAAAATTTTTCTAAGAAAAAGTTTGTCAAGAATATCTTTTATATTCACACCAAGAATATTTCTGAATTTGTCAAGAGAGCTATAGCAAGAAAAAACAAAAATATTTTTTTTAATGACAAACTCACACACACACAAAAAAATTGAATGAAATTTTGTTTTTGGACAAAGGAAAAGCCTTTATATCTAACACAAACACACACACAAAGCAAACATCAAACGCCAATCAAAATGTTTTTGTTGTTACACCAAAAAAAGATAGGAAAAGAAAAGCTTCTTAAATATAGGTTTTTTTATTTTCTTCGATTAACACTTGAAAAACAAACAAACAACAAACAGCAACTATAATAATAATCGATAGAGTTTGACCAAATAAAATGATGATGACAGCCAATACCACCAATCATTATCATTATAGCACAGAGAGAAAACTTGTGTTTCGCAAGAGAAAGAAGTTGACGATGACTAAAAAAAAAATCATCGATCCATAATCGATTGGGAAAGTGAATTTGATTTGAGTTCGATGATGATTTTGCTTGATTTTAATTTGAGTTATTTCAGGATTTTTTTCTGTTTCTTCCATTATCAATCAATATTTGATGGGAAAAAAACGAAATGTAAATGGAAAAAAGTCAATTTTCACCTGTTCAATGATGATTCTGTTTTTCTTTTTATACCTTTCATCAAACAAGCGTTTGATTTAATTGAATTTTTTGTTCGGGTACAGAAAAACTCAACAAAGATTCAACAAACAACCAATGTGTGTGTGTGTCAATTCAAAATCAATACATAAACATTTACTTTTTCCATACGAAAAACGAAAAATCGATTACAAATTCATTGATCACACTGTTCATTCATTCATTCATTTTTTGTTTAAAGAATTTTAAATCAGGTGTTTTATTTTTGTCGAGGAAAAAAAATGTTTTCCACTGAAATAACGAAAATGATTGATGATTTCCATAACCATGTTTGAATGTTTTTTCCTACAAAAAAACATGGTTACTGACAGCAACAACAGCAAAAATCCACTGCAATGTTGGATTCTTGTCTTCGTCGCTGTCGATGTTGTTGAGAAATGAAACAAAATGAAACAAAATAACCATTTTATGACATGATCATCATCATCTTTTTGTAGAAAATTTTTTTTTTCATTTTGTAAAACATGAAAATTCACATTGTTTTTCTTTCCTAAGCAGAAAAGATACTTTCAGTTATGATTTTTTCAAGTATGTCAAAAGAAAAAACATGATGAAATTTCAATGATGTTTTCTTTTTTTCTTCAATAAAATCCAATAAATCATCTATTTTGGTTTGGTTTTTGGTTGAACTGATTCCAGATTATTATTTTGCAACTAAGCATTTTTTTGTTTGTTCACAATTAAATGATAGGTTTTCTTCTTCTTCTTCTTCTGGATTTTTCCTCAACAAAAAGAAGAACAAATTTGACAAACAACCAGCTAACTTGACTAAGCAATCGATCAATTTTGTTCTTTTTTTGATGAAAAATTTCTTAATTTTTTCTTATTTTTCTATTTTATTACAATACAGGATTCGTGTGGAATTTTATGAAAATGAAAATACGTTTAAAGAAAAATTACATGTATTTTTTATCAAAAATCAACGTACAAGTAAGTCGAGAATTTTTTTTGTTTTGTCTTTTGACTTTTCATTCTTTGAAATTTTGTTTTTTGAAGAATATTTTCTTTTTCTTGAAATTCAAAATGTTTTCAAATTTCGTTTCAAAACAATGCCATTATTTACTATTAGTAAAATTCAAGTGAAAAATCTGTCAAAAAAAGAAGAAAATTGCTTGACATTTTTGAAATCTTCTTTTTTTTTCTCTTTCTCTCTCTTTCTCTTTCTAGGTCTTCAAATACGTATCATTAAAACTGTATTGAAATTATTGACATGTTTATTCTACATTGTACGAGTGATATTTGATGCTGGACCATTGTTAGCAAAATGGTTAGTTTGTTTTTTGTTTTTGCAAATATACTTTCGTTTGTGAACGCCAACACTGAATATGTCATTCATTTAGATTGGGGAAAACAAAACAAAACAAATCAACAAGAATCAAGAATTTATTGATTTTTTCCCTCACCCTTGTGTTGTTCTCTCAAATAATATTTCATTTCATTATCATTTTTGGAGAAATGGTGGTAGTAGTTTCTCTCTGTTATTATTGTTTCATTTTTATTAATCGTTAATATGAACAGAATATTAAATAATAAACAGAGAAAAAGACAGAATATTAACATCCATTAATAGCCATCATCATTCTCATTATTATTATTATTAGCTTATCAAATATAATTAGATTATTATTATGGTTATGGTTATTTACAGAAGTTAGTTTAATAAGTTCAAGTAGATTCTCTGTTGATTCTCTGCGTTTATTCATTCATTCATGATATTATTTTTACATCTGATAAAATGTTTATTTGTTTTTTTCTTCTTCTTGGTTCTTTTGGAATATGAATTTTAATCAAGTTAAAACAGAATTTGAGAAATATGTCACACATCATCAAACGAACGAAATATGTTTGTTTTTTTCGAAAAACAACACTCTGTTTTAAATTGAGTGCAAAAGAATATTCTGGATAATTTTTTTTTGTTTCTCTTTATTTCTTTGGAATCATATGATTAAATAATGTTTAGCCATGATTGTCCATTACCGGATCTAACTAATCAAACATCACCAAATTATAATTCAATGTATGATTGTCGTATGTATGATAATCGTTGGCTTCCAGTCAATGTTTCTGCTCAGATGGCACCATTAAATTGGTATGTTTCAAATGAAAAAAATAGGAAAATTGTTAATTTCCAATCGAAAAATTATTACTTTTTTTTTGCAGGCGTGCTATTATTTGGGTCGATAGATCATTTGTGATTTGGTTTTTACAGGTATGTCAACAAAGCCCCAAAAGTTTTAATTTTTTTACACGAATTTCTGCTGAATCATTAAATATTCTTTTCACCCCCCCCCCTCCACATCAAGTCAATTATATCGATTCTGTGCTTTACAGAGGCCTTATTATTAGCTTATCTAAGCAACAAAGTAAGTATTTTTGTTTTCTGCTTTTTTTTACAATTTACAATTTTGTTTCATTAACCTTGTATACAAATCACACACAATTAGAAATTGTCATTTTCCTTTTTTTCACTTATGAAACAAAAAAAAACAAAAATTTTCTTTATTTGCCCATCAAATCAAGCAAAAAAAAAATATTCACAAGAAATTCTTCTTTTTGGTTCAGATTTCCAATTTATTTTATTCACAAGTAATGCAGCCATACTGTGTGCGTGCGTGTTATATAAAATAATAAGATGTCAGAATGATGAATGTCAAAAATTGAATTTTCTTCTTCTTTTTTTTGCACTTGTATGCATATTACCATCATCATACAGGAAATTTTAACGAACCATCGTTTTTCAGACGAAAAATGAATGAAACGAAATTCACTAATGGTATTTTATTTTCTTTCTTTTTTTCTTTCATTCTTGTTATGTTTGAATCACAAAATTGAATTGGCACACACAACGACAAATACCGACAACAACAACGATAATAATAAAAGGGAAATTGTTTACAAACAATTTTTACATTTCAATTTATTGTCGAAATTATTACAAATATTCCTTATATTGTATCGGTAAGTTTTTCTTGATTTTTGATTTTCAATCGGATAAATTTATTTTCTCTCTTAAATAATGGAATTTGTAACAACAAACCCGAAACGCTAACGATAATAACGATTTTTTTTTCAGCCAGCCAGCCAATTTAGTCAATTTAGTCAATTTAATAATAAAGTCGACGAAAAACCAGGTGTATAAATTGATCATTTATGTTCTGATGATATTTTCTCATATGCAAAGATTTTCTTGCATAAAAATACTAATTTATTATTTGGTTTTTTCATTCTTTGAAGTAAAAAAATCAATTTTGAATTTCTACACACCGAAGGTGATGATTCATTCATTCATTGTGCAAAAAAAAGATTGTTAATTTTCATCTTCTAATATCATCATCATGATAAGAATATTAAAGAATTTTTTTTTGAAGAATTTAATAAACCAAACTATGGATAGATATTTTGGATAACAGTTGATAATATTGGTAGTGGTGGTGGTGGATCATCAATCAATATTTTCTTTGGCTGGCTGGCTTGCTGATTATGAAAATCGATTGGCAAGATTTGAAATTTTGATTTTCTTCTTTGGCCATCCAAGATCATATGTTTTTTGGCGATGGTGGAATTTCAAAATTACGAAAAGATTCTTGAAATTGATTTTCATTTTCTTCTTTGGGAAAATATTTTAGCAAATTGAATGAAAATTAGAAATTTTGGTATCATTTTTTTTTCATTGAAATTTTTCGTTCTGCTGTTTAAGCTTCATTTATTTATCATACACTTTCTTTCTTTTTTTGTGGAATTTTCTTATTAAAAAACTTTGAAACTTATTTTCAACCGTCAAAATTCCGTAGATGATGATGATGATGAAAATTTTGTTCTTCATCACCATCCAGTTTACAAAACGAAAAAGAATGTTTTTTTTTTCATTTTTAGTTCAGATCAAACTTTAATTTTTTTTTTGCCCAAAATGTTTTACAATGTCGCTTGGTCTGCAAACTTTTTTTACTGGCTGGCTGGCTGTTTATTATCGACTTTTTTTTGATGTCATATTATCAAACAAACAAACGAAGGAAGAAAAATAAAAAACTTTCCGACAATGTTTCTGGAAATTATTTATTTACCCAATGGCAAAAAAACAAAACCGTTATGATGATGTTCAGAAAAATTTTTTAGGAAAAAAAAAAGTTTTTTGATAAAAACAAAACTTTTCTTGTTTTGTTGTTGTTGTTTTTCATTTTCATTTTTTTGTTTGTTTGTTTTACTGTCAATCAATTTTTTTCATTAATTTTTTTTTTGTTTTGGTTATCCAGTTTTTCTATTCACCTTTACGTAATCTTTTTGTACCATCATTTTTAAATTGTTGGCTGGCTAAATATACGTTGGAAAATATGTTTGTAAGTTAAAAGTTTTTTTTTTGTTTTAAATAATGATGGGATAACTTATGGTTAATAAACGATGATAGATTATTATCTTAGATCTTGTGCAATGTTTTAATGGTGGTACCTTATTTTTTCTTGATAGTGAATTTATTCAGTAGAGAAAACCGAACAAACAAAAAACCATTTAAGAATAATTATTCCAGTAAATCAGAGAGAAAATATTCTTGATTCTTTTCCTTGCCCTTTGCAATAAAACACATTATGCGAAACCCAAAAAAAAAACAAAAATTATTAACATAATTTTATCATTAATAATTTGATCCATGAATCGACAATAAATATTTGGAAAAAAATTTTTACTGACCAAAAACATTGAAGAATGATTTAAATCGTGCAATGCAACGATCACAATCAGCACTTTCACAACGTTTAATGATTCTTTCGGCAACATTATTATGTCTTATATTTACAAGGTAATTTAGAATTTTACTTTTATTTTTATTTTTGGTTTTACAATTAATGTTTTGTTTGAATTTTTTTGAATCTTTTTGCTTTTTTGGTTAAAATTGTTTCACTTGAAAATACAACAGTCTTTGTGGATTTCAACATTTTCAACGTGCCGGTGGCCGTAATGTTGATCTATTTGAAAGCCTTTATTTTGTTGTTGTAACATTTGCAACCGTTGGTTATGGTGATTATAAACCAGATCGTTGGCCATCACAGCTGTTTATGGTTATTATGATTATTGTTGCCTTGATTGTATTGCCTACACAATTTGAACAATTAGCCTATACATGGATGGAACGACAAAAACTTGGTGGTAGTTATAGGTATGGAATATTAATTCATCAGAAAAAAACGAACCCAAATAAAATGAAATGAAATAAAAATTTCCAGTTCAATAATTATTTTCATATAAATTATCAAGATGACTTTGTTCATTGATGAAATCTCAATGGACAACGAAATGAAAATGAGAAAATGAAAAAAATGAAATTCTAATTTACGACAGTCATCAAAGATTAGTTGATTTTTTTTTGTTTCAAGTTCCGAAAGTAACGATTATTTGTCAGGAAGATAATCAAAAAGAAAAATAAATACACCCTTCATCGATTCGTAAATTTGCTTGATCAGAAAAATTGATAAAGAAATTTGGTTTTTCTGTAGAATTTTTCCGCAGAAAGAATTGGAAAAATGTCAAATTTTATTATTATTATTATTGACATATGTATCGTCGTTATCGAATCAAACCTAAAATTATCAATCATTATCTAATCAAATAGAGTTACATTGAAAAGCAAAAAAAAAGAGAGAGAAATTCTACGTTAAACAAATAAATTATTCTGTTATTGTATCAAAATGATATTTGATATTCAACATTTTTTGAATGCAATCTTTGTAAAAATCTAACTAATCATATTATTGATTTTGAATAATAATATTTTTTTTCTTGTTTGAATTTCATTTTCATTTCACTAAAACTCAATATATTTTATCTGTTTGTTTGTTTTTTTTAAATATTTGCATAGTACACATCGTGCACAAACCGAAAAACATGTTGTAGTTTGTTCAACAACACTTGGTTCAGATACTGTGATGGATTTTCTAAATGAATTTTATGCTCATCCTTTGTTACAGGTAAATGTTGATTTATTTTTTTCAGTGGATTGAAATTTGATCTTTATTTTTCTGATTCTGAATTTTTTTTTTCATTTTGATCCACTATGTCTAGGATTTCTATGTTGTACTATTATCACCATGTGAAGTTGATACAACAATGAAAATGATATTACAGATGCCAATTTGGGTACAACGTGTTATTTATCTACAAGGTTCAGCATTAAAAGATACTGATTTAACACGAGCAAGAATGAATGCAGCTGAAGCTTGTTTTATATTGGCTGCACGTAATTATAATGATCGTTCGGCTGCTGTAATTATTATTTTTGTTTTTTATTTTTTGAAGCAAACTTTAAAAATTACAATTTTTTTTCCTAAACAAAAAAAAAATAAAAGAAAGACAGACTAACCTTTCTCCCAAAAAAAACTATCAATTACATTTGCAATCAAGTTTTACCAAACAAAAAAAAAGTATCTGTTTTTTTTTCTTGCTAAATGAAAATCTATTTTGGATTTTCCACATTTTGAAAATAAAGCTTTTGAATAGAAAGAAATCATTCTCACACATAATTCATTAACACTAATTAAAATGATACAATTCTATTTGCGATTGAATTAATGATTCCATTCATTTTCTTTTCTTTTTTTTCTATTCAAATATTTTTTCTTTTTTGTCAATAGGATCAACATACAATACTTCGATCATGGGCAGTAAGAGATTTTGCTCCAAATGTTCCACAATATATACAGATATTTCGTCCGGAAAATAAAATTCATGTTGCATTTGCCGGTAATCAATTGTTCAATATTGTCAATATACATGTATATGCATGAATAAATAAATAATTTTTTCATAATGAATCATTCATTTGGTTTCATTTAATTTGTGGCCCGTTTCTCTCTCTCACTCTCTCTCCAATGATTAATTCATTCAAAATGAATGTTGGGCTTCCCTGTATTTTTTTCTATTATTTTTCTGGCTGACTTGAATGCTTGCTTTTATTGATTTTTTTTTTTTGTAAATTAATTGACTTGCATATTGATAATTATTTCTTGAATTGATGATGATGATGATGAAAATAAATTCATTAACATTGTCATTGTTTTTTTTTTTGCTACTTTTTTTATGCTTGTTTCATCTCGTTTTAATCAAAAAAAACGAAACGTAAACGTAAACAGAACATGTTGTATGTGAAGATGAATTTAAATATGCATTATTGGCAAATAATTGTCTTTGTCCGGGTACATCAACATTGGTTACATTATTATTACATACATCACGTGGACAGTAAGTTTTTTTTCGAGGGGGAAAAAATTCCCTGAAAAGTTTCCCAACTATCCAATTACATATTCCATTGATTGATACAAATACGAATCAATTCAATCAAATTCTCCTTCGTTCTTTTTTTTCATTCATAATCATTATAGAGAAGGACAAACATCAGATGAAGAATGGCATCGTTTATATGGAAAATGTTCCGGTAATGAAATATATCATATTAGACTTGGTGATAGCCGTTTTTTTGGTGAATATGAAGGAAAAAGTTTTACCTATGCTTCATTTCATTCACATAGAAAGTAAGTAATAAAAATGATTTTTTTTATCTTCTGTGTGTTCAAATCAATTCCATAACAATCTAACTAAAATGATGTTGACTTTTTTTCTTCTGTTCTGTTCGGCTGAAATAAATGTATTGCTATTTTCATTCTCTCTCTCGCAAGACAATCGACAAAAGAATGAAAAAAACAGGCTAATGGTTTTGTTTGAAGAACCAAAATCAAAGAAAAGAATAAAGTGAACCTCGAATATAATTGACTAGAATCGATATCAGAAAGGAGAAAACGAAAAAAAAATCGAAATCGTAATTGTTCGTTTTTGGTGATTTATATGTGTGTGTGTGTTGATCTACAGCAGCAACAATAATATACCCTTATAGTTTTTTTGTTTTGTTTTTATTTCTGTCAACCAAGACCAAGACTTTATCAATGACAATTTGAAGAAAAAAAATCACTTGAAACTGAGATTTATTTTTATATAGTGAGTGAGATAGAGAAAGTGTGAGACAGTGTTAAGCAAAACAAACACAGAGACAAATGGCAGAATGTTGAATGTTTTTTTTTGTGTGTGGAAAAACAATATTTTCAAGAAGAGAGAATCGATTCTGAAAGTGAAGTGGTCTAATTTTTTTTTCACCTTTTCCAATTAAATTTTTTTCCCCGGAAAATTTCTCCATTGGATAATAACAACAACAAAAATCTAGGTCAAAATTACTAATCAAATAAATTATTAAAGTTTTTTTTTTAAAAAAAAAGAAAATTCTAATTTCAAACAAACAAAATAATTTTATTAAAAAAAATTTATTTATAAAGGAAAAAAAATTCATTAATATAAAGTGAGTTGTCGTTTTCGTTTTCGTTTCTTTCGTTTATATTTCTTTCGGAAACATTTCCCCTTTTTTTTAATTTTGTTCTTCATTTGCTGTTGATGTGATTGATTGAAACAATGGCAACAAATAAAAATGAAATTAACAATAGTAAAGTATCATTTTATCAATCAGTACATATAAATAAACGTATACCATCAACACTTAGTTCAATTGTTGTTAAACAAGGTGAATATGTTTTAGCTGATAGTGGTATAAAATTATCAAAATTAAAATTAAATCAACAACAATGGAGAAAATCACGAATGAAAAAAAATTCAAAAAACCAACAACAACAAGAACGAAAACCAAGTAAACAACAACAAGTATTGGGAAAAAGTATTTCGAATACAAAACAAACAAAAACAGTTAAATCGATTGAAAAAAATAAATCAAAATCATTAATATTAGAAACAAGAAAAAGTAAATTGAAAACAAAATCTATATCGATACATAAACAAACTAGTAAAAGTAATAGTAAAAGTGATAGTTATAGTGAACGTGCCAGACAAATACAAACATGTTTAAAAGATACAAAAATTATTAAAAAAATTCGTTCCGATGATGCAACATTATTATTACCGGTTGCTGAACAATTTTCAAAAAATTTTAATGAAAAATTATTGGATATTATTAAAGAACGATCATCATTATCAATGGAAAAAATGAAAAAAACGACAACATCAACAATGACAACAAAAGTAACGGAAAAAAGTAAAAAAATTCAACATATTAATTCGGATGTACCGACAATATTGATTGCACCGGGTGATTATCAACATATATTTAAATGTCCAAAAACATTGGATAATAGTGTTAGTCAACAACAACAACAACAACAACAAACATCATTATTACAACAATATCAATATCAACAACAACAAAAAAAACGAATTGAAGATTTTTATCGTATAAAACGTATACCATCCGATACACCATCATTATTGGTTGAAATAATGAAAAAAGAAAAACGTGTAACGGATAAAGAAATTGATGAATGGAAACAAATGCGTGAAAAAGTAAAAATTTTAAAACTACAAGTTAAACAACAACAACAACAACAACAACAAGAAGAATTTGCTGTTGAAAAAAGTAAAATTCCATCAAAAATTATGAGAAAAATTATTAGTATTGATGTTATTAGTACCATTACTCCCACCACCACCACCACCACCAACAACAACAACAACAACAAATCGAAGATTATTGTTAATGATGAACCGATATTGATGAAAAAATCATCATCAGTAAAAGAAATTTCAAATCAAACAAAATTATTACCGAATGAAAAAAATGAAAAAAGTGAAAAAAATGAAAAAGATGATTCATTAATGAATACTGCTGATAATAATATTAATAATGATAATAATCAACAAGAAAATCGTAATCAATCATCAGAAATTATTATTGAAGATGATAATGTTGTTTTGCCAAATACCAATAATGATGGTGGTGGTGGTTGTGGTTGTTGTAGAAATTGTCAGATTATTTGATTCAGCTACAAAACAAAAAGTTGATTATGTCATTTTTCATTATCATCATCATTATTAACAGAATAATTCATTTATAAAAAACCAAAAGAATAAATAAAATATTACAAACGAATAAAAGTGAATTTGAACGCGCTACGCATTTGTTTATTTGTATTAGATTTTTTTTTTTAATTTAAAAATTACATAACTCAATTAAAAAACTAACTAACTAAAGTGAGATTGCAATGAGTGTGAAAAAAAATTCCATTAGTTTGGAATGTAAAATCTAGATAAATTATTAATTATTCTTCATCATGATCATTGTCAAATTTAAAATATTCTATCCCTAATGATAATAATCTTTAGTTAGTTAAATTCTGAAAAGATCATTCTGTAATCATGTTGACAGCCGTTTCAACCAAAAACTGAGAAAAAAAACTTTTTGGACAAACTGATTATTAGATTTATTTTCTACATTTCATCATGATTCTCATCATCATTTTCATAATCTTTTTTTTCATTTTCTCTCATAGATATGGTGTTGCATTGATTGGCATACAAACTGATATGCATGGTACATGGCCAATAATGTTAAATCCAGGACCATCATATGTATTAAAACATTCGGATGTTTGTTTCTATATGAATATTGCAAAAGAAGAAAATTCAACATTTGTACCAACAACAACAACATCATCATCGATTAGTGCAACACATTTAACAATATCTGGTAGTCAAATAATATCAAATAATAACGGGGATAAAAATGTTGATAAACCAATTGAAAATTGTAATCTACAACAACAACAACAACAACAACAACAAAATCATCATCAACAACAACAACAACAACAACAACAACAATCGCAACAACAACAACTTTTATTACATGATAATATAATAAATTTTTCAAATAAAAATAATGATAATGATTTAGATGGAAAAGATAATAATGATAATAATGATGATCCAACAATTAAAATGTTGATTGATAATGATGAACAACAACAACAACAACAAAAGCAACCATCATCATTATCAATACCACAATCATCATCTGGATTGATAAAATTGAAAAAAGTTTGTTTGATTTTTGTTGTTATCAATTGATGGTCAAATTAATGATTTTTCATTTTACATTTTTTTCATTAAAGAACGAACGTAATGAAAATAATCGATCAGAAATGCATCTATTATCAACTGATTATAATAATAATAATAATAATGGAAAAGATAATCTTAGTACAAGCAGTGGAAATCCATTTTCATTTAGTAATTTGCGAAGAAAATCATCAAGTTTATTTTTATCTGATTTAGCATTAGGTAAACGTCGTGATTCATCACCAACACGTTTAAAACGTGCTGTTGCTGAATTTGCAACCAAAATGAAACGTGTTACAACTGGTAAACATTTAGGTCATTTAGAAGTACCGAAAATTGAATTTGGTTCACCAGCAACTAAAACAATGAATGATGTTGTTGCTGCACGTGGCCGTCGACCAAGCATTGCACCAGTACCAGCAATGTTAGGTGATAATAGTAGTAGTAGTGATGATGATGATGATGATAATGATGATGATGATGATAGTTCAACCGAATCAAGTAATCAAAATGATGATAATGGTGAGGGTGAGGGTGATGGTCAACAACAACAACAACAGGAAACAACAATCGAATCAAAAACGAATGATGGTCAATCAAAAGATTTGACAACAACAACAGCAGCAACAAATAAACAATTTGATCGTCATTCAGAAAATCAATGGACATTTCCAGCAGAAAATTCTGTGTAAGTAAAATTTTGATACGTAATTAGGTTCAAAGATTTTTTCTTTCTTTCTCTCTCTTGTGTATACATGATTAACCCATTGACCGATACGTGGTTCATAATTTTTTCAATCAAATGAAACCAAAACACATTGATCTTTTTTTTCTCTCATTTGATTTGTTGTTGTTGTTGCACGTTTCACATTCGGAATAACAAGTGAAATGATCTTTGGCAAAAAAAAAAGAAACTTTTCCATTAGTTCCATTGTACTACTTGTGATGCTATTTTAGACAAATGTATCAATTTTTTTTTAACCGATTTTTTTCTTCGTTTGTTACAAACACACACACACAGAGAGCCATTGAATTGTTTATATTTAAAATGTGTAAATATTTATTTCAAGAAAGAAGAAGAAAAAAATATGTTTTTTTGAAAATTTTCCATTCATAAAAATGCAAATTTTATCGTCATTACGATTGAGGGAAATGAATGAATGAATGACACAAATGTATTCAAAGATTGGTCAGAAATCAAACATCAGAATATTTTCGGTTAGGGGGTAAATTTATTGATCATCATTCGATTGATTGATTGATTGAATCATATCAGAATGCTTGAGGATATTTTCCCTGGTTTATGCAGCAAAAAAAAAATCCAATAATTCTGCATCACGAATTCAGTGATTCGGTTTCCACAGTGAAGATTTGATTTTTTCAATTTGAATTTTCCATTCAATTTGGTTCAACTTTTTTTTTTGATTTTCATTTTTTTTCTACTTTTCTTTCCACTATTCAGAGCGAGCAATAGAAATAAAAAATAAAAGCTAAAAGATTTTCCTTTTCATTGAACTCACTCATAGTTATCATCATTTGATTTCATTTTGATTTGATTTGCTTGATTTTTCTTCATTCGTCTGATATTATTATCACTTAGCAACATCTAAATGAAAAGAAGAAGAAAAAAACTATGATTGATATCGATGATGATGAGACGAATGAACAAATTCAAGAGAAAAAAAAAGTAAATTGATTGAATGAATGAATGAAATTATCAAAGTTTCTCTCTCTCTCTCTCTCTCTCTCTCTCTCTCTCTCTCTCTCTCTC